TAATAATTGTTTTTGGGGAATATGTATGTTCACTAGATGGCCTGATGCGAATTATTCAGCTGCATGTAAGACAGCATGTCCTCAAGCTGAGATCGGGAATTTGATCTCATTAGCAATGGTCTGGCAATTAGCTGTATGCATTTTATAAATGATGCAGCCAGACCGTTTTGTGTATGTCCATGTGCCACAAAATGTTTTATTCTTACCCCCCATGATCATACACTAAGCATTAAAAGCTTGGGACGTGAATTCACCAGCATTATCTAGACATATAGTCCGTAATCACTTTGACTGGTGATGGCCTTATAATGAGTTTCCCTTGTGAACATGCTACACACGTGAGATTATTTGGGATAACTCTTATTTCTTTCGGTGTGTGCCCTTATATATTCATGATTATTTTTCGCATCATACTCGACCCGGGATGGCCAAGCCGGTCGTGCCATAAAGTGAATCTCTCGGTAAACCCTTTGTTTACCGTGGCATTAGAATATATCTTACTGGCTTTAGCACAGTAAATGCCTGATGATATAGCGGGTATAGTCTCTAGGACTTTCTTATGGCCTTGGGCAATTTCATCACTCATAAGGAACACTCTGTTTCCTTTGCCCTTGGTTTCAATATGAAAACCGTTCATTATAATATCTTTGAGAGATAGTAGGCTCCTCTTTGAGCTGGGTGAATATAACGCTTTAGAAATCTCTAAAAGCGTACCCATGGGCAATAATATATGGCCGTAGCCTTTAATTAAATTAGCCATACCCGCTATGGTACTTATTGGCATTTTTAAGTGTAAGATCGTGTGGCTTGCCCTACTATCCACCACGAACTATATCTTAAACACTTTTATAAAATTATTCCATAGAGATAGATCCATAGTAATTATTGAGAATACATCCAAATTATTATAGAGAATTATAAAGCTTAACAAAGCTTGATGTCGAAACACTTGGTTTATTTAAGGCAATCGGAAGTCTCCATGAGATCATCCTTGGTATGATCGAAATCATCCTTATTATCATAACGCACCAAATGAGCTTCCGGATTCTTCCCTTTTACACTCTCTTGATAGAGGTCAATAAAATACTTGGGAGTCCGATAATTCTTAGCCCAATGGTTCCCCATCCCATATTTATGGCAAACTGATTTTCCGGTCGGGTTTTGCGGTTTGAAAGATGTACCACGGCTACGGCCTTTTCTGCCGTGATACCCGCGGCCTCGACCTTGTCCACGACCGGAGGAGTGACTACGGTCACGTCCTTGCCATTTACCACGTCCATGGCCGGATGTTTTATCTCTTTGGACGTGGTGAGCCTATTTGGCTTCTTTCTTATCCGATGCGATAGCATTGGCTTCGGGGAGTGGGGCTGTCCCGGGAGGTCTCAACTCGCTATTTCTCATTAGCAATTCATTGTTTTGCTTGGTGAGCAATAAAAATGAGATCAGACTTGCATATGTCTCAAAACCCTTTTCACGATATTGTTGTTATAACAATACGTTACTTGTGTGGAAGGTGGAGAAGGTTTTCTCAAATATATCCTTCTCACTTATCTCTTCTCCACACAGATTCAAGATAGAAACTATCTTAAACATGGCCGAGTTATATCTGTCCACGGATTTAAAATCCTGGATCTTGAGATTTATCCAATCATACATGGCCTTTGGTAGTGACACCGTACGTTGGTGATCATAACGATTTTTGAGTTCGTTCCAAAGGTCCAAGGGATTCTCAATATAGACAAGTACTGATCCTTGAGACTCTCCGGAAGGTGATGGCGAATAATTGCCTTATTCATATCGGGCTCGTCATTGCCATCAACAATACATTTAACGAGCCCCTTTGATTTTAGGATGATCTAAACATCCAACGCCTATTTCAAATAATTATCTCCCAAGAGATTAAGGGCGTTAAAAACCAAGTTATTGAGTTTTGATATCTCAAAAGAAGGACAAATGCTCATGTTTAGGTTTCATTATAAACCTTTTTATTACCGTTGCCCGTTCCAACCGTCCGGTAGAGAGGTAGCCCGCGCATCAGTTCGGACGAGTATAAACTCGCCGAGCCGCGTCCCCTTTTCTCCGAACGTTCATCCCGGACAAGGTCCATGCACTGTCTTATGATTCTCATATCTCATGGTCTTATAGTCTTATACATGCCAAACGAGATTCTCATAATCTTATAATCTCATGATCCCATATCTCATGGTCATATACATGCCAAACGAGATTCTCATAATCTCATAATCTCATGGTCTTAGGGGGAGTTATTGGGAGATTGATTTTAAAAGAGTTTGTGGATTTCAAAAGTTTAGAGATTTTAAGATTCTCAAAAAGATTTGTTGATTCTAAAATAATGTTTAACCAGATTTTTAGAGTTTAATAGATTCTTCATATGATAGACTCTACAAATCCTTATGATAATTGCAGTATTTTGAAAGTTGTTTTTAATGACTAAATAGGTAAGGAATCATTAAACCAATAACACTAGAATTTGATAGAATTGGAAAATCAATAAATACTCAACTTTTTGAATAACAAAGGATTTTAAATAGAATTACAAAATACATACACAAATAACAAGAGATTTTAGTAAGAATCTAAGAATCCGTACACCAATAACAATAGAATCTTAAACTCTAAAAATCTTTAACAACAATTCATGTTTTTAGGGTTTCATATTTGCATGTGAAAATCTAAGGTGATTCTTATTCATCATATATTCATGCGATTTTAAACAAGCATCCTAGCATGCAATTTCTATAAGATCAAACACCCATCATGCAATTTCAAGCATATATTTCATGATCTTAATACTTTAGAATATATCATGCAGTTGTAGGTGCTCAAGCATTCATGCGATTTTAATCAAGCATCCTAGCATGCGATATCTATAAGATCAAACTTCCATCATGCAATTCAAGCATATAATTTATTTCATGATCTTAAGACTTTTAGTTTATCATGCTGTTCTAGGTGCTCAAACATAGATCGATTTTATAAAGAGAAAATCTAAGGTGATCATGCATTCATATTCGATTTCATAAAGAGAAAATCTAAGGTGATCATGCATACAAATTCGATTTCATGTTTAATCAAGTATTAGGATTTCATAATTCATATTAATATTAGCAAACATCAATCCATATGAAAAACAAGATTACAATCGATTTTAGGTTGCATGAAAAGTAGTTCAAAGAACAATCTCATATTTTATAAACGCATGAAAAGTGGTCCAAACAACAATTCATGTTTTTAGGGTTTCATATTTGCATGTGAAAAGTACTTTAAACAACAATTTCATATTTCTAGGGTTTTACAAATTCATATGAAAAGCACTTTGATCAACAATCACATGTTCAAAATCATGGTTTTAGGTTTTATAAAACATGAATCAATTGTTTTTAGGGTTCATGGTGTTTACCTCTTTATCACCAATTGGATTCTGAATGGTTTGGACCGGGAGCTAAAGACCTCGGTTTCTCAAGCTTCTGAAAAGATCCGCGATGAACAGTAACCGGCGATGAACAGTGACGGCGGTGAACAGTGTTGACGATGAACAGTAACGGATGACCAGTAGCCGCCGAGATTTTTAGGTTTAGGGTTTTTAGAAGTGATTTTAGCTTTTAGGGTTTTTAGAGAATCGTGCTGATAACGTGTTATTGACTAGAGAGAATAGAGAGGGAACTGGGATGCTTTATTCATTAGGTTAAAGCCATATATATAGGTTCATACAAAGGAGGTTACAAGTAAACCCTAATACAAGTTACACCTCCATAACATTGGGCCGGAGCAGGCTTGATATGGGCCGGGTCTTACTGAGCTTGTTATGACAATCCACTATGATTCATAACAAACTGAACAAAAGAAAACTATTATTTGGGTAAAGAATTCTTAAAACTGAATACGAAAAAAATATACAAGCAAACCCAAAAGTGGCATATTTTGGAATTTATACAAATGGGCTAATTTTTTATAGAAACAAAAGCCCATTTAATAAATTAAGCCCATCTATATCACAGCCCCTCAAAAATGGTTAAGCAAAAAGGATTAATTGAGGAAGAAGAAAACTCTGTGAAGTGTTAACTCTTTCTTCTTCTTCTCCGATTCGAGCTTCCTTCCTCTCGCAAAATCTTCAAGTCAAGGTAACATCTCTCTTCTGTAAGCTTAGATTTTTACTTTTCTTCTTCACTCTATCGTCTACGTCGATTCTATCTTATCGATTTTGGTAACGATTAACCCATCCTCCAGCGATCTCGATCCAAACGTATTTGATTTGATTTTTAACTTCACGAATTCTCATAAATCTGTTGTTAGTATGTGATTTTAGTTCCCCACTCTAATTCTTCTGATTTCGTATGCGTTGGTTCTCGGATTTTGCTTCTCAACATTCGAAATTTCACTTCGTTGAGACTTTTTATTTTTGGGGCTGATTATTTGATTTTCCTGATTTGTAGAGTGGTGAAATCGGATAAATGTCGCAGTCTTCCGTCGATGTACCGCCTAAAGGTGGGTTTAGCTTCGATCTGTGCAAAAGGAATGATATGCTTACACAGAAGGGTCTTAAAGCTCCGTCGTTTCTCAAGACGGGAACTACTATTGTTGGGTTGATATTCAAGGTCTGTGTTTACTATCTCAGATTCTCTAAAATGTATTAGCTTTGAGTTTGCTTTTATAGCTTTTGTGTGTTTAGCATAGTGTAATTGTTGGATAGTGAGTACTCTCTTTTAGTTATGGAAGTTAAAAAATTGGCCGAAGGTTCAAGAATTATGGGTAAGATGCAAATGCTAAGAATAAGTTAGCTGAAAAGTTAGCGTTTTAGGCTATGTGCTTTGATATTCCACAAGGAGAGATTTTTTTGGAGCACGGCTTGTGTGATACCTTGTGGCAGCTTTAAATGAGAATTGGATTGCTCTAATTATTGGTGAAAATGTTTGGTAGGAACATGAAAGTATAAAGTGTTGTTGCTTTCTAAACCCTTGATCATGTGGCAACATGTTGATGACTCTTTGCCTTTGTTCGACAGTTTAGAACACTGTATGAAACATGCGATGATGTGTGTGATCCTGTGTTCTTGACGTTCTCTTTCAGATTTCCAATAGATGATTGCTGAAAATATACAGTGCTGATTTCCTTTGCTTGTTTGTATAGGATGGTGTGATACTTGGAGCTGATACACGGGCAACTGAAGGGCCTATTGTGGCTGATAAGAACTGTGAGAAGATTCACTATATGGCACCAAACATTTACTGCTGTGGTGCAGGAACCGCTGCTGACACTGAAGCAGTAACTGGTAGTTTTCTTAAATACCAAATTTCTCTACTTCTGTTAGCTCGATCAAAATCCAGTGCTAAGTTATTTTGATTTATATCTCACTGTTCAGATATGGTCAGCTCCCAGCTACGGTTGCATAGATACCAGACTGGTCGAGATTCTCGAGTCATTACTGCATTGACCCTTCTCAAAAAACATCTTTTTAGGTATTTTTGCTTATGACCAGAATCTCGTGTTAAGTTTACTAATAGGCATATGTAATTGAACTTCTGAAGTATCATTCAGCTATCAAGGTCATGTCTCAGCTGCTCTTGTGCTTGGTGGAGTTGATATTACCGGGCCTCATCTTCATACGGTTAGTTTCTAACTCCTGATCAAAGTTCTCAGCTGTAAATAGCTTTTATAGTTCAGGTTCTTTCATTTTGTATTCATCTCTAACGTTCTGACTAAAATGCAGATATACCCACACGGTTCCACTGATACTCTACCATTTGCTACAATGGGTTCTGGTTCCCTTGCTGCCATGTCAGTGTTTGAAGCAAAGTATAAAGAAGGTCTAACTGTAAGTAAAACAGAGGCATTTTATCTTTATATTTTGTAGATTTCTTCTTGCCGTATTTTTTTATGTTTGACTCAAATCTTGCAGAGAGACGAAGGGATCAAGTTGGTTGCTGAAGCCATATGCTCTGGTATATTCAACGACCTTGGTAGTGGTAGCAATGTGGATATCTGTGTGATCACTAAGGTTTGTCATACTCCATCTTACTCTCCGTTTAATAGATAGATGTACTATGTAGAAATTTGTTTGTTTCATGACTGATAGATATATTAAGCTAAACCAAAGCTATTCGCTACAAAACCAATACTTTGGATTACCTATATATTTGATTTGAAACTTATTGTGTTTGTCGATTTTGGGACAGGGAAACAAGGAATACTTGAGAAATTACATGGAACCAAACCCAAGAACCTATGTTAGCAGCAAAGGCTATTCATTCACCAAGAAAACTGGTAAGAAGCTACGTGTTGCAACACTTAAATCGTTTCTAGTATCTGTCCTGATTGTTGAAGTGTTGAATTTGGTTTAATTAGATCTTCTTCTTCTTCCTGCTGTTTTTGTTTCTTTATAAAAACAGAGGTTCTACTCACCAAAATTACACCATTATCGGAGAAAGTCGAAATTGTAGAAGTGGCTGGTGAAGCTATGGAGGAATGAGATCATTGTTTGAGAGACACTAAGAGTGAAATCATTGTTCTACCTCAAATGACAGTCATGTTTACAGTTTCTACTTTGTTAAATTTTAAGTTTGAACGATGTAGTTGCCTCCATTTCATCTTTAGATTTGGCTTTGACCTTGTGATTTAAGGATGATTCGGTTTTGAAATTTAGCTCTCACATAAATTTCAAAAGAGCTCTTTATAAAAGTCCGGAACAACTTCTTATACCATCTCCAATGATTTTATTATTTTTGCCTTTATAATAGAGGAACTCATAATAGAGTTGACTTTTGCTGCAATGGTTTCCTCTATAATAAAATATTCCAAATATATTCTTTTTAAATTTTAATATTAACACCATCTATTTATAAAAATTGCAAATTAACCCATTTACTTTAACTTTTATAAAATTTTAATAAAATAGTTATTTTTATTTAAATTAAACATTTAATATAAAAACATAATATTATATATTTTTTATTTAAAAGTACATCGCATTATATAAAAAACAATAAGATACTAGATTCTATTCTATTATTATATATAATAAGGTAAAATAAAATCTCTTTTTTCCTTCAATAAAAATAAAATCTATTATTATATATATTTATAAGATTTTATATAATTTACTTTTGCAAATGGTAGTCTCAAATTTTAGAATATATATTTATATTAAAACTTCTAAAATATTTTATATTATTAGTTATTAAATATATTTATTTTATTTATTTTTCTCATAAATAAAAAAAGTTTAAGATTAAAAGGACTACTTTGCAATAAAATAGTTCACCTCTATTTATAGAGGAAAAAATAGAGTTCCTCTATATATAGAGATAAAAATAGCAATCTCTATAATAGTGGTGGATATAGAGGTGGGTTGGAGCAAAATTTGCTATAAAATAGAGTTTAGAGGAAGAAATAAAGATGAGTTGGAGATGCTCTTAAGACGACTCATCATTCTTCCTTTTGTTTATAGAAGTCCAATCTCTGTCGACATTACCTTTGTTTTCACTTTTCTTTGTCAACATCTACACATTGAAAGCCAAGAATTACAGGTGCAAGGCATAAGATTATATGAACAGAGCAACTGATAATATTACAAACTTGGGTCAACAAAAATACTCATCAACAACACTATTTCCATATAACCCAATAGATTCTTATTATTATTATCTTTTTAATTTTCCACACCACAATCATTACGTCATTAACCAAACAACATCACACACCATATAAGTTGTGATGTTCTATAGCAGAGGAATTTAACAAACCAACATTGAAAGCCAACTGGAATACATCACCACTACTTTGGAACTTAACTGTTGTTGTATGCATATAGGTTTCACTTTAGTGAGATTCTAATTCTTTCTTTTGTTCGTACGTGTAATTAATAGTACGCCCACTGGATAACATCACCACTACTTTGGAACTTAGTTGTTGTTGTATGCGTATAGGTTTCATTTTAGTGAGATTCTTATTCTTTCTTATGTTCGTACGTGTAATTAATAGTACGTCCACTGGACAACATCACCACTACTTTCGAACTTAGCTGTTGTTGTATGCATATAGGTTTTACTTTAGTGAGATTCTTGTTCTTTCTTTTGTTCGTACGTGTAATTAATAGCATTTTGATTTTTGGGAGCTATACTGAGAGATAGTTCCATTCTATTATATAAGGCCTCTCTATAGAAACTCACTGTCATTCTTTCAATTTCTTCCGCCTAATCTATTCTCATTTTGAAACTTTTTTCTTTCTTTTTTTGTTATTTTTTGGAATTTGAATCAATGCCACAAATAATTGGAATTCCTCTTACAAATGTCGATTATTTTTCTTACTACGGTTCTATACTAGTTGGAAGTCGACACAACGAGCAGCGAGTATCATTTGACACAATAGCCCATGAAATATGGATTCCTACTTATTACGTCCATGGAGTACCTAATCCTTATTGGGGATTTGAATCAGATACTTATGAAAAGGAGTCAGGTAACTTTTTGTTGTATGTATTATTTTTAGAAGTTCTTCATTTGTTTTAGAAACAAAAAAAATTAACAATTTCATTGTAGTACATTTTTTGTGCTATATTTAATGATGATCCTATCGATTACTATGAGACCATACAACTTGGACTGGGATAGTTGGATTTGCATTCACTCCTCCAGAACATGAGTATTTGATAATTACTATTTGCTTCTTAATTCTTTTTTTTTTAATAAAAATTATTAGTAATTATTACAATTTTATATATATATATATATATATATTGTTTTCACTTGTTTTTGTTTTACTCAAGAGTTAATAGTATTTATTTGATAATGTGAGGTTGGATTTTGTTTGTATAATTTTAAGTAAATGATTATGTGGTTTATATTTATGATTTGAATAATACGAAAAGATGTTTGTGTTTCAGGCAAACGATGATGAATAGAGACTTGTTATACGCTAATCTTTTCTCTCTTTGGATGAGAGATTATGAATATGCTGGAGATGACAGAGGGGAAATAATGTTTGGTGCCATGAGTGTTAACCATTACAACACAGCAGTAGGACATGTGCATTATGACGTTGTTGAGTATTGTCATGAATGGATGATTCATATGTCATTCGTTTCTGTTGGACAAAACCAAGGTATGTATTATAATTTTAGTTACATAAAATATATATATTTTTTTTTTAATGTTATCTTTTCTCTAATTTAACCTATCTTTTGGATTATTTTGTAGTACATCCTCAAGGAGTCTCCAGGAATATACACTAGTGTATTTAGACCCATGGATTTTTCTGACCAGAATGTTGCATATTTGTAAGTATAATTAACTACATATTTTGTTTATTCGATAAATATTTTTTTTTAAAATTTATATATACTAACATGCATCTTTCACATTTTATTTTAATATTTTTTCTACAGTAATTTTATGAACTTGTGATTTTATGGATGATTTGGTTTTGAAATTTTAGCTTTCAAATCATAAAGAGCTCTTTCTTTACTATTTTGTCCACAACAACTTCTTCTTAAGAGATACTCACTCTTACCTTTGTTTTCATTTTCCTTTGTCAACATCAACACATTGAAAGCCATGAATTACATGCGCAAGGCATATATTTATATAAACAGAGCAACTAATAATATTTCAAACTTTGGTCAAAATACACATCAATAGCACTATTTCCAAATATTTAACCAATAGATTCATATTATATTTTTTTATGTTCCACACCATAAACATTAAGTTTATTCTAACTACACCATAGCAGTTGTGATGTAATACTGATTTTAACGAAACAAAATAAACAGCATATTGTAGTTAGAGATGAATTATGTCTGCTTGAAACTTGGAAGGAACCATCGAGCTCTGCCGAGTTGATGCTCTGACGAACAAACAAACTTGTGGAGTGGCTCCTCCTTCATCTCCTTTGTCTCGAGATTAAAGACACAAATTTGAGTAGCGTTTTCGTCATGTGATATGACATTGTAGTAGATGGAGTTTCTCTTAAAACCCACAATGTCATCATTAGCGAGCACAGTGACGCCTAGATCAAAAAGCATTGCCTCGTCGCCCAAAGAATAAACTTGTTCACCATACTTGTTAGAGAAACCTGATGAACAAACCTTGTAGACGCGGAAGGAGCAGAGCCTAACCTCTTGTTCATACTTGAACAATCGTTCAACCTTGAGGACATCTCCGTTTATTGTAACTACAAGTTTTGTTCGCCATATTCGCCACGAATCGTTGCTTGTTATCGGCTGAAGTAGAGAGGGGTTGGCAGGAACATCACAGTGAAAAGTCTCTTGCGGAATCTCTCCGGAGAAATCGAATATTTTGATACAACCAGCATACCTAGGATTTAGGAAGAGGTAGTAAAGCTTGTGATCTTTGAAAACCATCTCAAAACGTTCAATAAAATAACCTAAGGGGATTTGAATCTGATTCCAGAACACATCTCCTTTCTTGGAATAAACCACACACCAATCGCCAAGTACCCATAGAACAACATACTCTTTAGTTCCCTCGTCAATCCAAAAGACAGGGGAACGCATAACCATATTGATACCTTTGAACTTCGTTGGGCGAGGCCAGTGGTGATCGTTTACGTTTGAAATACAAAAATTACCTCTCGAGGTGGTTCGCTCCACCTTCGTGGTTCCAAGCTGTGACTCCACCTCAGGTAAATAGATCTTCTCGTGAGTAAACAGATTCAAAATGTAGAGATCAGACCAGTGATCTACCATAAGAAGCCAGTTCCCATGTGTTGCTAAGATCGTGCTGTTTGCAAATTGGAACACGTCAGCTCGCATCCTGTAAAGCTTTTCTTTTTCCTCGGGATTGAAGAATCTGCACCAATGGGTTTCGATCTTGTCGTCTTCGTCCGGTAAGAGAATCAGCCATGGGACTTGCTTTTTCGCCAAGCAACGTCTCGCAGCGGAGCACCAAGAGCGACATACGGATTCTACTCGTCGGAAATCAGCATAGCCGAGGCGTTCGAACACTAAGTTCAGGAGATCTGAAGGAAGCTCCGACCACGGTTTCCATGAATCTCGTCGTCTGCGTAACTTGTTTGAAGGTTTAGGGTTTTGCTGCTTCTTCATCTCCATCCGACCCGACTCGATTTCTAGGGTATCTTATTGTATTTTAAATGGTTTGCGTTTTATTGAGGGTTTATAGGATTTATTATAAAATCTTTTCAAATTTCTGAAAATGATTTCAATAACATTGGATTTCATAAAAAAAAAAATTAAAATCCATGAATAACATATGATTTATTATTTTTATACAAATCACTTAAAATGTTAAGTTCAATTTTAGAACCTCAATTGTCACATGTTTATTATTGGTTTATCTTAATCAATGTACATGCTATAAAGATAAATGTACCAAGTGCTTGTAGAACTTTACATTTTTCTAAAAGGGAATTTACATTAAATGTTATTGATTTTAATATCATTTTTTTAGTAAATACATCTACTATATGTAATATCTTTTAAAGTCATTCAAAATCTAATCTTTGAAATCATTAACACAAGATTCCAAAGTAAATTTTCAAATCACTAGTTCAAAAACATTGAATTTTCTTAGAAATTTTAAAATCATAATAGAATAAGGATTTTATTATTTTGATACAAAATAATGGATGAGATGATAAAAAGCTAAAAGACACCAAAGAGCTTAAAAACTTAACTTGGAACATAAGAGAAAAACCAAAGTAGTACAAACAATCCACAACGTATCACTAAGTTAAAAACACCAAAGAGCTTCATCTTCTTCTATCAGTCCTCGTCGGGAGAGAAGGTAATCTTCTTACCGCAGAATCCGTTGGATTTGTCCTTCATATTCGGTTCTCGTAGGAGGTTGTCTTCGTACCTGGAATATACCCTTGTAACCTCCCCCATGTTTAGCCTTGAGAACAAAACTCAAAAAGACAAAAATAGTTAGAATTCTCTTACCAAAGCTTCTCTGCAAGGTTGTACCTAATTAGCAAACAAAAATACAAAACAAAGTTAGTCTTGTGTTATGACATCAAAACTTCTGTTCCAGCGCCTACAGAGTATAGAAGATTTAATCAAAATCGAAACTTTCAATATATATAAATTTTCATCATTACTATAAGCTACTAGTCTCACCTTCTCTGCTTCGTTAGCAGAAGCAAACTCAACAAAGCCACAGCCCACTTGCTTACCCGTGTGGTCTGCAATAAGACGAACACGAACAATTTTTCCAACATCTTTGAAGAAAGAGGTGCTGTAAAAACATGGCAGAATAAAATGTCAGTCATGAAAAATTTCATCCATGAACAAAAGAGGAAATTAAAGGTGCTACTTACATATATTTTATTTTAGTTTCAGGAGGGAGATTGGTAACAAAGAGCGTCTTTTTTCTTGCTTCCTGAATTCAGCAGCCAAGTGTGTTAGCATGACTCTGACGAGGAAAGGACTTAAATTGCATAATAAGAAATGGTACTACCTCAACAAAATGGGGAGTTTCAACAAATCCATCCATTGCCCCATCTTCTTCTATCAGAAGGCTTTCTTGTCGAAGGTGGTCTTCAAACCTGGAATACCAAGGACCTTTGTGATCTCTCCATGTATACCAAAAGCAATGTGTTCTCGATAACAAACTCAAGATGCAAATAGTTAAACTATACAATACCTGATAAACAAAATTAATGGCGTTAGTCTTCTGTGATGGTATCAAAACTCTAGCAGTAAGTTACAGCCAGTGTTACATAAACAAATTTCCATAACACTGAAAAAAATTAATTTACTTTGGTGGAGGAGATGGAGCTATCTTAGCCGCTTCAAGAAAAATCTTGCCACCCTGCAAACGTTCACCGTTCTTCTTTTCCAGCGCCGACAGTATAAAAAGATTCAGCCAAATACGTTAGTTTTCAAATGACTACTTAAATACATTTCATCATTACTATAACCTTCTCTGCATCTTTAGCAGAAGCAAACTCAACAAAGCCCCAGCCCACATGCTTTCCCTTGTTGTTAACAATAAGTCGAATATGAACAACTTGTCCAACATCTTTGAAGAAATTGATGCTGCAAAAATGGAAGATACAATATTACTCATGAAAAACTCGGTCCAAGAACGAAACAGAAAATTTAAGGTGCTACTTACATATCTGATATTATAGTTTGGGGAGTAAGGTGGGCAACAAAGAGCGTCTTGGTTTTTCTCACGGAAACAGCCTGAATTTAACAGCTAAGTGTGTTAGCGCAACTCTAAGGAGAAAAGGACTTAAATTTCTGAAACAACAAAAAATAGACTCGTCTGACATAATGAGGAGATAATAAGAACCTGTACCTCAGCAGAAACAGGAGTTTCGCCATGTCCTTGCATCAAGAAAATCTTCTCATATCATTATTACAACACTAGTCTCACCTTTTTTGCTTCGTTAGCAGAAAGAAACTCAACAAAGCCATAACCCACATGCTTGCCCTCGTGGTTTACAATAAGTCGAACACTAACAACTACTCCATCAGTCCATCATTATTGCAGAAATCTTTGCTGCAGATGTGGAGGATGACAATATAAGTCATGGAAAACTTGTTATGAGAAGGAAAAGTGGAAATATAAGCTAGTGCTACTTACATATCTGATATTTTAGTTTGGGGAGAGAGGTTGGCAACAAAGAGTACTTCTTGAATTTAACAGACGAGTGGGTTAGCACGACTAAAAGGAGAAAACGACTTGAGAACAGCAAAAAAGTAGCAAGATTCATCCCCGGAATTAAGCCATCTGTGGCAACAGTTGTGTTCATTAGACGCTGAGCGTTTCTTGGCATATTTTGAAGATAATAAGAACAGGTACCTCAGCAAAATCGGGAGGTGTCTCATCTCCTTCAAGCAGACGGCATTCTCGTCGAAGGCAGTCTTCGTTCCTGGAATATAAGAGAAGCCCTAGTGATCACTCTATGTATACCAAAAAATTTACCCAATAGTGTGCTCTTGATAACAAAGACAGAGAGGAAAATAGTGTTAAGACCCTTACCAGACCTTGTGATCTAAGGAAAACCTAATTAACAAAAAATAAAAGCGTCAAGTCTTCTGTAATGGCATAAAAATAACTCTTGCAACCAGTGCTACAGAAACATATAATTCCAAAACATCAAAAAATCAGTTTACTTGGGTGGAGGGCGTCGTGTTATCCTCTTAGGCACGCCAAGAATTATCTTGTGGTCGAGCAAACATTCACCATTCTTCTTTTCCAGCGCCTACAGTATAGAATAAAAGGTTTAATTAATCAGCAGTTCTACATACAAATAACTAGTTGTATATTTTTTCATCATAAAATTTTAAAATGAATTTGATTTCCATCATTACTAAAAAGAAAAAGAAAACTATCTCTAACCTTTTTTGTTTCACCAGCAGAAGCAAACTCAAGAGAGCCAAAGCCAGCATGCCTACCTTTGTAGCATGATACAGCAAGTCGAACATTAACACGTTGTCCAACATCTTTGAAGAAATCGATGCTGAGGGTAAAATATCAGTCACCAAAAAACTTGCTCAGACAAGGAAAGGGGAAGCTCAAGGTAGTGCTACTTACATATCTGGTAGTTTAGCATGGTGAGGGAGATGGGCAATAAAGAGCGAATTTTTAATCAAGGCAGCATCCTGAATAACAACAGGCAAGTGTGTTCGCACGACTCTTAAAAGGAGAAAAGGGCTTAAATTGCATTAAAAAAACACAAGAAGTAGATTCATCCCCAGAATAAGTTGTGTTACTAAACCCTAAGTGTTTCGAGGCACCTCAACAAAATCGAGGGGAGTGTCATCAAGTCCTTCCACTGTCTCCTATTAAGTGAGTAGCCATTTTGATTTTGGAGATAGTAAGAAAACAAATGCTCAATTGAACGAACGTCTACATAAACATGTACAATAGTTACAAAAATCAAACCTTCACTGAGATTGAATTAGCCTGATCAGACTTCTGCAAGAGACTAGGATCAGCAACAAGTCCTTCCGTTGTCTCCTGGCCAGCCAGAGAACACAGTGTAAACAAGATTGTTCTCAAAGGACAAGAGGAATCAGAGACCATCGTAGGTTACCTTTTCCTCGGATGATGTTTCCTTATGTTTCTTCAGAATCGGGATGGTCTCCAAATCATCATCATCAGGGTTTCGCTTACCTTCAGAGCAGCAACAGAACAAATTTAAAGATCAAGAACAACCTCTTCAGCCAAATATAGAAGATTATATAGGAGCTCAGAGCCACACAAAACTAACCAAATAAATTAACTTTGGCGCCCGATTCCTTGCTACAACTGGCCATGATGAAGGTGAAGACAGCGCCGGTTCTAGTGTTATGGCCAAGAAGACTCTATTTATTTCTTATATATATACATATGATTTAGGACCTAGATTAGTGTTTGATTAAGAAATATAAAATTGGAAAATTTTATCGAAACAAATAGATGTAATATAATATGTTATAGAATTTACCATCCATTTTTCTAAATTGTAAAAATTAGAATTTTCGTATATGAAAACAAAATCAAACGATTTACTAAGGATAATATACGAAGTGTTTGATTTAGCACAAACAAAATTATGCTGTTTCTTTTTTGTTTGTCTGCAACAACTTCTTAAGACGACACATCATTCTTACTCTTTTTCTTCCTAGAAGCAAAGCTACTTGGTCCAATCTCTATTGTCATTCTCTTTGTTCTGTAAGAAGAGACCAAATTGAGTTATTATGAGACACAATCAAAAGAATGATTGTACAACAAAAAAATAGAGAGAGAGAGAGAGAGCAAATGTACATGCCTTTCTGATAGCTCTTCAGATTCTTTGGCATCACAATGAGAACCTGTACTCAAATCAGAGATGCAAATCTAATTTAAGTTTCGATAGGAGATGTCAATAGAATCAACAAAAAAAACAAAAGAGAACAACCTTCACCAGTCTCTCCATCTGTCTCTGAACCAGAACTTGACTTAACCATCCAAAAATCGGCTTCTTCGGAATCACTATCTTCTTTATTGCATCTTGGTTTGGTTGCTTGTGTTTTCTCGGTCCTTCCACTTGATCCAGCTCCTCTTTCCACTTGCTCTATCAGATTTATCAACATCAAAAACACAAAAAAAAAGACCATGAATAACAGGAGCAAGACATAAGATTCACTACAAAATGTCAATGATTTATCATGAGGGGAAACCAATTTATTGAACCTAGTTTATGAAGAAATCTTTTCCCGTTCACATGTTTCCAAATGTGTTCCTCGTTCTTGTTCACAGTATCCCCGGTAAGCTTGCACACAAGTTTCGAGCTGAGAACATAGCCAAAAGCAAGAAGAAAAGCTTATAACTTGTAATCATTTTTCAATGCTGAGAACAAAGCCAAAAGGCTAAAATCAGAAGAAAGATTAGAACTTTTAACCATTTTGGATGCATTTACACAGACTGAATACAAGACAAGAGAAATTAACAACCAATGCTCCTCAGTGGTCTAAAGAATTCAAATTAAACCAGCTTTCTAATGTAGCACCACTACCTAAGACTATGAAGCAAAGATCTAAATGGGAACTTGAGCTAATACAATCTGAAACTGTAGAGACATTCAACGACATGGACGTCTCCTCTTTTAACGAAAAAAAGGATTATCCTTTTTTTCTTTTTCTTTCTCAGAAAACAATCAAAGTTTCATCATTCATCCACAAATACATAAAAAAACAGAGAGAAACTTCATAAACAAACTACACAGAGATTCACCTCTCTACTTCTTTTACTTATCAAAAAGTGAATAACCAAAGGATTTGTTTGCAGTGTCAATTTGATAACTTGCGAAATCTTCAAACTTAATGCTTAAATTTTGAAATTAGTAGAATTGGAGAATATGATTCAATCAAAAAAATCACTAAAAGTTTTGATTTTTCACAGAAAACATACAAAATTAAGAAAGTTTTTTTCTTTGACTAACCGAGAAAATGGGCATTGCGAGAACATGTTGAAAGGAGACTTTCCCTGAGACAAAGCGTGATCGATGAGTCCCAAACGACACCGTTTGTTACGAGCGTATGATTCTTCGTCTCCGGCTAAAACCTCGTGACCAGTCTCGACGCATCTTAGCCGTCCGTTCCCAAGATCAATGAACGTCGGTGAACCAAACAGATTCCTCCCTTCTTCTTTCGCCTTCTGCATCATCATCGTCTCCGAAGCTTAAAACCATAGATTCTCTCTTATTGTATAGTTCCTGGACATAAAAATTAAACCAAACCGAACCTGCAAATTGTATTAAACCAAATTTGGTTTTGGCTGGAACGGTAACTATACCGAGTAAATTGAACCGAACTAAAGCAAAAGACACAACCGCAAAATCTGTTCAATGATCTATATTAATCATTTAATCCCAATAATAATATTATACTACTGAAAAAAATCCTTAAAATCTTGTTTGGTATGAAATATTTTATTAGACTAGAATCAATAAAACCAAAGCTACATTTAGTATAACCGATAGTCTTGGGCAAAATAACCGAACGAAAAGTATCAAACCGAAACCAAACTCAAAAAAAAATAATCAAACCAAACCAAAACTAATGTAATAACCGAATGGATAGTAAATTTAAGAACCAAACGAATCAAACCGAGAACTTTAATATAACCCGATAACCAAAATCTTAATTACAAATCCATAAATATCAAATAGTTTTAGACTAAAATGTTTAAAATAACCAAAATATTTAGAAGTTTTAGAAATATTTTTAAAATTTTAATCTAACTTTACTAAATGTAATCATTATAAATAAAAATCACTATTTCGAATATCCGAAACCAAATCAAAAATAACTAAAACTGAACCAAAATCTAAAATAACCGAATACAAACTTCCCTATCCGAAATATCCGGAACCGAACCGAATATCCGAATACCCAAAACTAGTAACCGATATGAATAAACCGAAAATCAAATTTTATACTCTCGTACTCGAACATGTCTTGGATTGATCAATCAATCATGAGATCTTTGGACATTGCTGATGGTACTCTATGACGTTCCAAAATCAAAGAAGTGGAACTTTTAGCCGACCGATAATCCAAGATTATAACTTGACCATCTCCTAACTCTATCCTCAAATCTTTGGTGCAACATTTCTCTATGAGTTCATACAAATGCTTTAGATTCTCCACCTCCACTTTGTTGACACTCTTCACCTGTTTCCATCACAAAATATTAATGTCAGCCACCAAAATAGACCCATCTTAGTAAAATTCAGAACTACAAATGATACTTTGTTACCTGAGAATTCTTGTACATGTAGTGTTCCACATTGATCATATCAACTAATATCTACAATAAGATACAAACAAAAACAAAAAAAATTGTTATTTATATCATATTTATTTCAACTTGGGCATATTTATACATATGTTTTTGATATCAAATATAAAAAAAAGAAGCACAAACCTCAGAAATCATGACATTTTGTTGACCGGCTTTTTTGGGCATATTGTGATATGCATGTTTAAGCATACCGTTGGAACCTTTGATGTGTTTTTTACTGTAACTGTAAGGCACAAAGACAAAACCAGCGAATATGTAATAACTCGGGTTGTTGTTATCAAATCCAACTGCTGGAACTAGCCCTTGCACCTTTCATTGATTATATTGACCACAAACACAAATTAGTTCAAATGATAAATTGTAGACTAAATATTTGATATAGAGATTCACAAATAATAACATGACGTACTAGCTTTGTTAGAGTAATACTGAACTCAAGCGTTTTTGCCTCTCTTAAGACTTTAACTAAGATTGTTTCACCTGATTGCTTCATAGAAACCAAAGCACCCAACGTCACGTTTTCTTCTTTGTTTGGTAAAACAACTGCACCATATATGTAAATCTCAGTATATAATTACACCAACACATAGAGAGAGAAGTAATTATAAAGTAAATATGTATTTACCTATGCCATCATTTCCTATAGGGACACCATCGATTTCAAGAATAATGTCTTCTTTTCTTAGAACATTGAGAGCATCCGAATGTTCATAAATATTGTATATAAGAACCCCTGTCATATCAGGATCCATCTTAAAATGATTACGAGTATTTGCATCCAACATATGTTGGTACGATAGATGCAGCGAGCAGAAACCAACGCAGTGACCGGTTTTTTCAACACTGGTTATGAAATGTTTTACTACCTTAGCTGGGATTACGTGCCTGAATTTGGTGATTAAACCCATAAAAAGTTGCCCGTTAAAATTTTGATAATTACAATCATAATCGCTAGAGAAAAAAACAAACTTATACGTACCCTATACTATTAGCATCTCTAAGACCCTGAAATGCTACACCAACAACTTTGTTTCCTATGCAAACCGGACCACCACTATTTCCATGGTTCATTGCTGCATCTGTTTGTATTACCGGTAGACTAGTGGCACCACCCTGAGCGTAGTTTTTTGATCCGATTCTACTCACAACACCTTTTGTAGTGGAGATACTCTCACCACCTGCGAATTGAAATATTCATAAACTCCCGAGTTTGACTTGTGGAACCGAAGCTACGTACCAATCATATAAAACATATATTAATAAACTTGTCATCGTAGGAAACTCAAGCTTGTTACCTATTGGATAGCCAACAACAACTACTGATTCTGTCATAAAGGGCATGTCTCCAAGCTCCAAAGGATTCATGTCTTCCCAAAACTCTTCGCTCTCGATCTCCAAAATAGCCAAATCACATTCACGCCCCATGGCTTTCACTTCTGCTTTGTACTTCTTTCGTGAGCCATGTTTTATGACTAGCACCAATATGTGATCAGCCACTACATGAGCGTTTGTAATAATCTTCCTCCCCGGAACCACAAACCCTAAATCAAATATCCAAAAGATAAGTTAAACTAATTAGCATATATATATACACCAAAACAAGGCTCTAATATACGAATTCCAAGCAGATGCCAATATATACATCAAAAACAAAAGTTTAGTATTTATGCTCCAAATATACATCAAAACATAATAAGGTTCGCTCTAATATACGAAATTGCATGCACATGCATGCTAATAATATATATAGATATATGCACATGTTAAATTGCTAATAATATTTAGACATTACCTGAGCCACTGGATTTTCTTTGTGGCATGTTTTGCCAAGGATAACAAATGTTAGGCTTGCTAGAACAAGTGTGGATCATCACCACCGAATCCAACACCGAGGAGGACTCAGTCGTCGTAACCACGGAGTTTATCGTTTTCTCATCAGCCGCATTAACAGAAGAAGGAAGAACAGTACTAGTACTAAATAAAGATGCAAAATCACGTAAAACTCCGGTGAAAATTCGGTTGGTGCGCATTGATCGGACTAAATTTGTCCGGCCACGAACCCACCAGAATGACATTATTGTGTGCTGACCAAAAAAAATTAGTGACCAAAAAGATATATTGTGTTAAGAAAAAAAAAAAAAAAGGAGAGATAGATATATTGTTTCCTTTATAATTTAGTTACCATTATGATTTATAGTTACTTAATTATTTAGATAATAATTAGGAAATTTTCATACAAAAAAAGAAGAAGGTAATGATTAGGAAATTTTCTTTTCTTAGATTATATATGTATCTGTCTTCCAGTTACCAAAGATAAACCTCTCTACATTCGTTTTTGGTTTGGGATAGTAGAAAAGAATCAAAGATAAATAAAATAACATAAGAATTTTTTAAAATATATTTAAATATGATTTTGTTTACGCTTAATAAAACTAAATAATTTTTGGATGAGTTTTTTTTTTTATATTCAAAAATCGGTAGAAAATTTCTGTACCGTGGAATTCGAATCCCAAGGTTGATGAGTTTCGGTTTGGTTCGAATATGTGTCTATCCCATGCAAATCTCTAGCTCATCTAGAAGTTAATGGTTCATTCAATTGAATCATTTTTGATTGGTTTAGTTTGGTCTAATTGGAAATTGATCGGTTCACTTCAACAAGTTGTGTCTCAACCCTCAAGTCTTAACTCTTAACAGAGAGACTTAGAAGCAGAACACAAGGGTTTCAAGACATCGAGGTTCGAAACTTTTGTTATTCGAAACAGTTTCAGTTGCAACTGTACTGTTCTTATTATTTCAATGACGAGCAGCAGAAAAAAACAGTTTCAGTCCTCTAAATCTACTACTCTCGTTGGATTTCCATACATTAGAACAGAGTTTTTTTACATTCTCGCAAAGTGAATGATACAGATGTTTCTCTTTTGTTCTCTCATTCAGCAACTCTTTTGACACAAAGGTTACAACTTTAACTTATATTGCACACACAAACATGAACTTATTCTCAATCTACCCCTCTGAAACTACATGAAAGGTTATCCGAGACCGCGATTTTTTCTGATTGGTCATGCCATGGAGACTGAATTCTTCGTGAATGTTCTCGCTTTTCGGATTATTTACATTAGACTGATATAATCATTGATACCGAGTTGTTTTCTTTCACTGGCGATGACCTTCTGGTAGAGCTACGACTTTGTGGAAAGGTACTGTTCTTTGAGGCAATGCTCCATCTTCCTCATCATCGTCGAATTCAAGCAAGTACCTAATCAGACGAACAGTCTTGTTATATGATATATAGATGAACAAGAGCAACCAGTTCAAAGGGATTTCCAAGTGTTTGGACTACAAAATTCAGGACAAAGCAAAACAGAAAAGGTTGAAGAACTTACTCGTCAGACTTCCTCTGATGTTGCAAGAATTGACATCCGTGTTCCATATCTCGAGGTTAGTGTTTTTTTCAGACCGAAAGAGAGGTTATGTAGAGAGATGGGTATGGTTGTGACAAAAAGAACTAACCTTGCGTGGGGTACTTACTACAGTTGCTTTGTAGAGTGCTGTTGTCCCGGGATATACAGCTAAGACGTGTTTACCCGGTGGAAACTCTTGTGTGTTCGAAGGATCATTTCGTTTTGGGAATGGTAAAATGCATGACATTGGTAACTTATAGGTCCTAAAGATTCCAAGAGAATGAATCTCAGTATACTTCCTCCCCAACGCTAATTTACAACTCAAAATTTTCATATGAGTTTTACCTCTGACCGCTTCCTTCTTCATCATCTCCTGGTTCTTCATCAAGTACTTCAACTCTGTGATTAAAGTTTGAAACAGTTTTAGACTCATAAATAACAAGAATCTTTCCGTGTTAGCAACAAATCGGTTTCAGCTACTAAACTACCAGAGTGGATCGACCTTTTCTCAGAACTCTTTCTTATATGTTAGAACAAAAGATAAAAATATAAAATCTGCAAATCAGATTTCATGCCATATCTCATGGATGAAAGTATTTGCAAAACAGAAAAAAACTCCAAGGCCATAACTTATTAAACTTCGCATACGCACTAGAATCCATTCGTGTGGATTCAAAAATTGAACATAACATCAAGCCATCAACTACTAATATTATGCAGAAGAAAAGTTCAAGCTTACTCTTTTGTTTCTCTATCGAAGTGGATTACTTTAACCACAAACCATTCATCCTTATCAGCACTTTCTGCTGTAACTCTCGCAGCTACCTGCAATAAATCAGCAATTGTGAGCATGGTACTGAAAAGTATGAATAAAGTACATGTGAAAATAGTATTACCTGTTCACCCTTCAGACTTGCATATGCTTCAATTTGATTTCTCATTGAAGGAGAAAGCCTTATTACATCTGAATCAACTTTCATCCTCTTCCTCTTCTGATCATTGCCTTCTGCCACTTATGTGATATCATTACAAGAATCGGGAAAAATTCTTAATTCCTTTGTATCACACAAGCCTTGCCAGAGAATAACATTACAATTCAATTAGAGTAACTTGTGTGTACCTCCTAACTTTCTTCTCTGCTGCCCGGTTGGTCCATAAGGAAGCAGCAAATCCAACTGAGTAAGCAAAATGTTCGACACCCTGCGTGTTAAACACAAAGCCAAAAGATCAGTAATCACAAAATCGAAAACAAAATTCAAAAGGGTCTTATTGTTAGGTACACATTTGGTCATTCAGTGATAACACTAGTCCATTATCCATTCAAAGTCTCAAACTTTTTTCTATCCACCATTGTAAAGTAACAAGCACAGAGGAAATGACTTACGTTACTTCATTTTCAGAGAGCTCTTTTGCTTGAATGTACAAATTCTTAAGCTTTGACAATGAGATATCACCAGGCTTCTCAACTATCTCAGGAGCTGCACACCAAAACATAATCAAACAAAGCTTAAACACCTCTCTCTATATTACAACAAAGCTTACATGGTTTTGATTTCGTAGATCGCAACATCTAAATTAGTATTTAATTACAGATTCAATGGCATTGTTGAATTAAGATTATTTTATACTTCATGATCCAAAATCCGAAATTTCACTGAAAATAACTAATCAAGCACAAACATTTCCCCGAAAAATTAACTTTTTTTAAGTCTCAGATCAGATCAGATCAGACACAAATCCGTTAGAACAAGAAAAGAAAATTACCAAAATTGTTCGAGAAGTATAGTAAGTTAATAAGAAACACTCACAAGCTTGAAGCTTCTTATGCATCTTATTGATCTCAACCAACACTTCTTCTTGTTCTTTCCTTAACCGATCAAGCTCCTTCGTGTTTTCCAGGATTCCGACAATGTCCGGTGACGACATTACCAAAAAAAATAATAATACAAAGTATGTAAAATAGAGAAAACAAAACCCAGAAAATCTAAATTAGATTGTCCGAACGAATCAACAAGTTTCAATCTCTGCAGCTGGAGAGAATCCAACAATAAAAAAGGTTAGATTTTTCAGTTCTCAGATTTTTCCTTAAAAATAAAAAGATTTTTGAAGTTTTCTTTTTCTTTTGGGTGAAAATGGAAATGTCATTGTAGGTCAAGAACCAATACTACGTCGTTTTCAGACAAACAAGAAACAATACTTCCTAGTTAATCCAACTTTTCAATTGCTTATGGATGGGAAATATTATTCTTTTGTGATTTACTATTTTCTGTAAGCATAAAACTATAGTATTCAATTCTTTTTTTCTTGAGTTTACAGTTCATCAATATTAATTAATATAATTTTGTATTAAAAACTTGAAAAATCTAATCTTATGAAACAATAAATATTGAAATTGGATTAAGATTTAAGACCATCTCTAACACTAGAAACTCTTTTCCAGTTTCTCAATATTGACAATATATGTTCTTTTAATTAATTTAATATAATTTTTATTAAAAGATTAGATACTTATATAATGTTAACCGCTTAAAATGTGTCATGTGTCAAAGAAACGTTTCTCATGGATTCGTAATTGAAAACCGTTTCTTAACTTTTCTCATACTTTATTATTATTATTTTCTTTGAATCAATGAAAACTTCGATGAAAAACGTTATACATCTTCTAAGAAAATGTTTAAGACTTTGTAACAACAGTTTAAAATTATATTTTGGTTGTTGGATTGTTGTAAAAACTAGATTTTGTAATTTTGGTCTACCTAGCCATATAATCTTTCACATCGAATAAAATAAAATACTAACTCATTTACTTTTAAAATATATGAATGGGAAATACAGCCAATAATTTAAGATTATTGTGTAATATAACTCTACATGAATTGTAGATAGTTTACCTATATATATGTCCGATTTCGAAAGTGCGTAGTGTGCGAAATCGGAAATTTTGGTTAATTGGCATGTGAGTTGTTGCCAAAAACAATATGAAAATTATGTCATCTTCTTTCTTTTTTTCTTGAAACTTAAAGAAGGAATCGTTATAGAATTGGTTTTGTAAACTTTTTTTTGTTATCACTTAAGGGTTTTGGATGCGTATTTTGGCACCAAGTTAACATATTTAAACTTGGTAACTAATCTTCTTCCCACCAATGGTGGTCTAGAACTTTGGAAGCCTCCGAAAGACACCAGGAGAAACTTCAGCAAGATTGCCATCAATCTGTATTCTTAAACTATGTGGCTTTGACATGTGATTTTTCTTTGTTTTTTCAAATAATACTATTTAATTAGATTAGTTTGTTATCACTAGCAACAAGGTCGTTGTAGTATAGTGGTAAGTATTCCCGCCTGTCACGCGGGTGACCCGGGTTCGATCCCCGGCAGCGGCGTCTTTTTGTATTTTTGTTTTCTGAATTTTAAAACATTTTCAAATTCCTAACTTCGGTAACGAAACCTCTTTTACACGAACGCATCTTTCTAATATAAATCCTAAGCTATTAATACATCAATGATTCATAACATTTTTCAAACCACTTCTCTTTATTTTCCACCTTATAACCAAATAAAAATCAAATATTAGCAGCAGAAGAAAAAGAAGCTTCCTCTAACTTGTTTCTGCGGCAAGTTTGCATCAGTATGATTCTGATCTTCGTCTGTAACAGCCATCAATGAGCAAGTTCCAGGCGATTCTGGTGGCAATACCGCGTTTTCCGAAGAGAATACTCGTTTAATGGAGGGAGGAACAAGCTCAGGTGTTGAGATTGTGGAGAGGCAACGTAGAAGCATTTGAATAATCTCTGTGAAGTTTGGTCGCTCGTTTGGATTCTCTTTCCAGCAAGATGTTACGATCATTGCTAAATCCCCCGGTAAGTCGTCTGCGCTTGGCCTCAAGTTCTAGCCACAAATATAAAAGCAAAAAACAATCAAATTAATACATTACAATCTACACATTATCTTGTTGGAGAATCAAGAATCATAACGATTTGAAAATCAAGAATCAAAGGGTTCAAATCAAGAACAAAAAAGGTTGGAAATCAAGAATCAAATTAAACAAAGAATATATCAAGAACCAAGCATGTTAATATAAAGACGCAAAAATTTGGAATCAAGAACCAAATGGTCGCAAATTTAGAATCAATCTTTCGAATCAAGAACCAAGCGGTATAAATCCAGGGTAAATGGTTGAAAATCAAGAATCAAATGGCTGAAGTCAAGAAGTAAACATTTGAATTACTATCAAGGTTCAAAACTTTGAAATCAAGAAATGGTTGAGACTTGAGAATCAAGAATCAAACCTTAAATGCTGCAGCGTAAGCAGCTTGGAGATTTGACATGCCTTCAAAAGGTAACTTGTTGTGGATAAGCTCCCACAAGACGATGGCGAAGCTGTATGCATCTACCTTATGGTTATAGTGTTTTTTCTCGCCATGCCTCAATGTGACCGTACTATAAAGCTGTTTAGCAGTAATTTTTGTGTTCAGCAAATTGTTGGAACCAAGAGAAAAATGCAGATCATGAAAAATGATTTCTCGAGAACAGTAGTAGTAAGTACCTCGGGAGCCATCCAACGATATGTACCAGTTTCTGCGGTCATCATCTCGGTTAATGATTCTTCTCTAGCTAAACCGAAATCTGCTAGTTTAACCGTCTTATAATCTGCTGTTAAGATCAAGTTCTCTGCAAACCAACAAAATGATAAAAATAAGACCAAGAATGTAACTTCTAGAGATCCTTGATGCTTGAATATCGGTTTAAACTGTCACCTGGTTTGAGATCACGATGGATGACTCCATGAGAGTGTAAGCATTCCATGGCCCGAGCAATGTCAAGAGCAAACCCAACAGCTAAACGTATGTCCAAACGCCCTGGACGCAAACTCACAAGGTATTTACGCAAGGTACCACCAAGTAAAAGCTCGGTGACTATAACCATGATTGGTTCTTTGCAAGCTCCAATGAACTACAAAATAAATGACCGAATCAAAACATTTAGCCTTGTCTCCAACCAAACTCTTTACCAATTTGAACCACAGATTTGGCAAAAAGAAAGAAGCTGAACCTTAACCAAGTTTTTGTGCTGAACTCTAGACAACATAGAGACCTCTCTTGCAAATCTGCTCTCTCTTTTGGCAATCTCTTCTGGAGATTCTCCTCTTTTAACAATCTTAATAGCAACTGTTTTGTTTTTATATCTACACAAGAACACCACATTGAACAATCCTTAACTCATTGAATAACCATTAAACTGAAACATATATTACTAAAGTCTAAAGACTAAATATATTTTCAGCGAAAAGTTTCAATCTTTTCTTCACATATGCACAAGTCTCAAGTTCTTGACTCAGCAGTCACAAGTTCAAGAACCAAGCAAAGATCAATCCCCGAGAATAAAGAGAAACAAGAATGGATTTAGAATCATAGAGTGAGTGAAGCTGAAGCCAAAATTAAAATTTTAATGAGTAAAGAAACTTACTTTCCTTCGTAAATTTTGGCATGAGCACTTTCACCAATCTTGGGACCAACAAAGAGATGTTGAGGATCAACGACCCATTTAGGATCCAAAGCAAACACTTCATCTGAGTAAAATCCAGTTTCAGATCCCATGATCCCAAAAAAGGTTAAGTTTTGTTTTGATTATAGAGAGGCCTGTCAAATCAAAACCCTTTTGAGATGATCAATCAAATCATTCTTGGTGTACTAAAATCAAAAAAAATATGTTTTTTGGTGGGGGTTATAAAAGCGAAATCAAGAGACTTCCATAAATATAAAAACAAAAAAAAAATCTCAGAAGAAACAACAATCTCAATTTGTGAATAAGAAAAAAATTATTCTGAAACTGAGTTGTGTGTGACGACACAAAAGAACTGAAGATAATAAGACTCAGATGAAGAAATGGTCAAAATGGTCATGGTATTACTTTGGTTGTAACTTGTAACTTGTAAGTGATGAATTTATGAAAATAATTGTTAATAAGACAAAAAGCTATGAATAATTCAAGAAACAAATATATTTGCTATATCCGCGTAAGTAAAGGTGACAAGAAAATCTTTATATCTCTTTTATCCTTCTCTCTCACTGTTTTGTTCTGTCCTTTTTTGGTCGGCTAAAAATTTACAATAAACAAACCGAAACTAAATCGAATGAAATGAACCGGTGTTAAACCGGAAAAAGTCAAACTTGTTAAGAAAATGATCTAACCAAATTTGTCATTTATGAGCTAAAATAAATTAAGGAAGTTTCCCAGAATGCAAAGATAGGATCGATGAAATTATTTTTTGAAAAAAGTGTATATAATAGAGAGAAAAAAAACAAAGTCTTTTATTAATCTTTAACAAACAAACACTCTTTTCATTAATTGACAAAAGAACAAAAAAATGTGCATGAATATTTAAAATTTTAAAGATCGTGGGACAGAAAAAATAAAATAAATAATTCGTCGGTGCGGTGACAAAAGTGGACCTTTTTATTACAAGATCAGTAGTACTTTTTAGTGTACTTTCTTGTAAGTGAGATCATAATTAATTTGTAAGAAAAATAAAACATCGACTCTCTGACTTTTTAGTTTGGTAAAAAGTCTTTTGGTACTTTCTGATGGGATATAGTCAATTTCAATAATTCCTTCTCACTTTTCTTCTTCGTCGTTCTTTCTAGAGTTTTACAAGTTTTTGTATCCCTTTGCTCAAATTTTGATTGAGACTTCTTTGTTTAGACATTAACATATATTGATGTTGTGTTAAGATTTTTCTGATTCTATCAAAAGCAATAAGAATAGTTGAGTCTGAGCAAACCAAGTGAAGAGAAAGATAACAATGAGACAATGAGTGGCACATTAAGAAAAAAAAATCTGAAAACTTATCAAAGACCAGTCTGATTTGATTTACTCGTACAAAATTTCATAAACAAAGGGTGAAAAGTGATACAACATTGACGGAAATAAAGGGAATTGTGTGTAAATCTTTCTATCATCGACGTTTGTATAAACATGCTTTCAACTCAGGCCACTTTATTTTCTTCTCATTTGAATTCAACTGCTCCTATCAAACCATTAAATAAATAGGTTATTGCTAAAAATGAGTAGATCTAAGCTCTGAGATGAACCAAACCTAAAGCAAGTATCTTTCACTAACCTTTTTCTTGAAATGCAATAATATGAACATCTTATTCGAGAAGTCCTGCGCAAAGAACAAAATGAGTTTCTTTCTCATAGAGGAAACGAGAAAAGAAAAGGAGTATAGAGCCATAATATAGTTTACCTTTAAAACCGAAGTAAATCCAAGATCACAAACTGCTTTCACAAAGTCTTTTGGGTCTGCTCCTCCATTGTTTGGATCAAACCTGCTCTTTACTTCCGCTATAAGAAGCATACCGCTGTTGAATACACCCCATAGGACTTGTTATTCAGAATCGAGACGAAAAACCTATAAAGAACAAGAGACTAGCAATGTAAACAAAGCTGACCTTGGACGTAGAACTCGATGTGCCTCTTTGATGTAACTAGAGTAGTTTGTTCCCATTAATGAAAGACAGAAAACAGCAACATCCACAGATGAAGACTCAAGTGAAGTCTACAAAAGTAAACCCCAAAAATTGAAGTTAAGTCTGAGAGAAACAAAGAAATCATCCAAGCCACATGAATGAAGTAAAGATTTCGACGTACATTTGACATATCGCAGGCAATAACAGAGGGGTTCTTTGAGACAAGATCAAAAGAAAAAACTTTGTTCTTCACACTTTTAGCAATCCTTGCATCACCTGAGACGATTTATCATACCGGTAAAAGCGATTTCACCAGGTGAAAAAGAAAAACACAGCAAAACATGATAAGATAACCTCACCACAGCCAAAATCAGCAACAACTAAAGAAGAGCTCCTAGACAATAACCACTCTATAATGGAATTAACAGGAAGCTCAGGCCAATTTGTCATTTGTTGCTGATACCCTGTATGATACTGTAAACACAAAACATAAATCAGTTTTACAAATTCAACTTAAACGAATTAAACTCAAATGCTGTGAGGTTACCATATCAAACATTTCTGGATCTTCTTTAAAATAGTCTAATGCTTCTTGTCCACTGAGAAAAACAGAGATTACTGAACTAAGCTCTGTGTAAAATTGAAGTGAAATCACCGGAAAATTTTGAAACTAAAGCTTACGAGCAAGTGTAGAGTTTCTCATTAAGCATCCTAAATTGCCCACCAGATAATCTCTCTCGAAGCTGCGAATTTTATATTCGTATAAATTGATCAAAATTCTCCATATACTTCAATCACACGACGGAAAAAAATGAAAATGTGATCGAGAGAGAACCGTATCGAGAAAATTGGAAGGTTTAGGTCGTTTCGATGAAGCTGAAGAAGAACCTCCACGCTGATTGTTTTTGCAGATTTTGGTATCTCTTTGAATCTTCAGTTTCGTCTCGATGGGTTCTTCTTTTGAAGGTTTAGGGTTTCTTTGTCTCTTCCTCTTCCTATGTTTGCTGCTTGTACTTTCGTCTTTCATGGAGCTCGCCGTCATCGTCGTCTTCAACGTCGTTTCTCTCTGCGTTTAGGTTTTAGTTTCAGAAGTAAGAAGATGAGTTTTGTTATCTATTGGGCTTTGAACTTATAAAAAAGGCCCATTGGGCCTTTTATTTTTGTGTAGACCTAATAAAATCTTCGAACCCGGTTAAGTTTTTGGTAGTAACGATGTAAAAAAAGTAAAAAAAAAAACCCAAAATTCGTCGTTCCCAATTCCTTGAAGGAACATCTGCAATGGACGATGACAGTTCAGTGTTCTTCAAGAATGATTGTAGTGCGATACTTTCACAGCTTAAGGAGCAAGATGAGCAGATTCGTCTCAAAAGAAGGTTTCTTTCTTTCTTCTTCTCAAAATAATTTTGGAGTATAATTGTAACTTAGATTAGAGGAAGAGTGTTTTGACTTCGAATCAATCTCTTTGCTTATTAGGCTTTGTGAAAGTTTCGTCTTTTAATGTTCCTCTGTAATAAAAAAGTTTTAGACTTTGTTGTTTTGTCTTTTGCTGTATTTGGTATACTGAAGTGAAACTTTTTTAAACCTTGTAGGTGGCTGTTGGGTTGTGATATGTCTGAATCCAAGGACAATTCTCATGGAAAGACTGAGTGAGTTCATTACCGAGTTTCTATTTTGTTATTCCGTTTGGTTTAGTTGATTGATTAGAATCTTTGTTTTGTTTTTTGGTAAACAGATTCGTCCCTGAATCTTTGCTCAGGGAAGATGATGTATGTCTCTCTCATTCACCCTCTTTTTATGTAAGTGTTTACAGTTTCTTTCATTGAGATCTCTTTTTGTGATTTCAGATATTCTACGAGACCATTAAGTCACGAGTAGAGGAGGCGTTTGGATTTTGCAAGAATGAACAAGTATGCAATGATGTTCAACCAAAAGATTTGAAGTTCAGAACTCTCGAGGTTGACAGAAAGCTTCATTTTTTGACGAATAAAGGTCTTCATCTTATTGCAATGATACTCACAGGGGGCTCTGCTTCATTTGACAAGACTCGATGGAAGATGAAAGAGACTATCAGAGATTCGATCAATAAGGATTTCGGAAAGGGAAAAGAACATATTGGTAAAGAAGACATTATTAATCAGCTGCATCAAGTTCTTAGTGATCCCTCAAATTTCCGGGAAGGTTGCATGATGAATTTGGCGAAAACATCTACTTTGCAGTCCCGTCGTGATGCTGCGATGAAGGTACTTAACGAGCTAGATAGTTTGTCGACGCAGACCCTACGTGCAATGAAAAGGAAACTTAAAGGTTCAAGAATGATACCTCAATTGAAAACAAGTAGATTTGGTCAGAGTCGGAGTGATCTTATAAACCAAGTGAAGCAAGCTATCGAGAAGATGCTCTCAGAACTTTCTGCAGGGGATAAACTGCAGGAGCGATTGGCTAAAGCGTTGTCATTAGTAGATTTATCACTTAAGCTAAGTCCTGGCTACAAAACTACTGCTTCCACAGATTTTTTTAAGTTCTCACAAGAAACAAAGAACCTGCAGAATGAGATAGTGAAGGCAATCTGGTTACTCCGTAAGGTCAGGTTTCGCGAGCTGAAAAGATTGCATCTTTGTTTAGACCCGGAAGTTGAAATATCAAATGACAGTTTAAGATCAGCGGTCAGAAAAATGTTGATTGAGTATCTGTTTGAGTGCAGTGATATGGACACCATTCCAAAGTCTTTAATGGAAGCTCTTTCATTGCTCAACAGGAGGACGCGAAATGTAGAGCATAAGATTTTTCCAAGGGAAGCGATTGAGGAAGAGACAGAGTGTATACTAAATGTGAGTGCTCAAGTGAAGCAAATACTTTGTCAATGTATTCCAAATTATGAGCTCGATCAGGACTTTGATGATGCTTATATGGAGGAGCTAGTAGACAGTGAAGATGACGATGATTATGAGACTTGTAATTTATTTGAAAACGAGAAATTTGGTAATAAAGAGAGTGGATGGCGAAACATAAAGCATGAAGTCAAAGACACTCAAGATGCTGCAATGGAGTCCTCTGATTCGGATCATGAAGAAAGTGGTGCAGAATGCGTGGTTTTGGACCCGACTGATACTACACACGCAACCAATCAGCATGATTTCAGCTCTTCTGTCAATAGGGTGGTGATAAGAGACCTGCCAGAGAGTATTACTAGAGTTCATCCTAGGTCTCCCTATGTCACTCCCACGTCGAATAAATCAACTCTGATGAGTGATAAACATGACGCAGGTACGAGCGAAATCCGAGTCAAGGTTGAGAGAGATATTGAGATGGAAGTAGATAACCAGTTTAGCTCTCGGTCATTGTTTTCTGTTGAAAATATAAAGTCTGATGATCATGGTGAGCAGAAGCCACGCAGAAGAAACAAAAACCAGTACCTCGCAGTCCAAGAAATTTCTGATGAGACAAGCTTGGTTGCACATAACTTAATCGGCCGCTTACTAGAGAAATTTGCAGATCGTCAAGGTCTAGACTTAGAAGCGGATGAACGTTCATATCTTGGAGGCGAGTCAAGGCTTCAAAAAGATATAGAAGGTGAGGATAAAAGCGTATATATTCTTGTACAAATTCTTTCTACTTTTGTTACTGTCGACATGAACTAATTGAGACATCTTCTTATTGAATTGCCACTTGTGTGCTGCAGTTGCAGTGAGTGGAAAAAAGCAATCGTCATTGAAAGAAAAGTCAGATGAGGCAATCATTCTTTCTGCTGTCAAAGAGCTAATGCCATCCCTTGAAGAGAGGTATACATTTATTTACATTTGTTTTTGTGTTGGTATGAAAGTATCATGTTGCCTAGTAAGCGTGAGGATGCTGAATCCCTAACTATTGGATATCTGATTTTAACAGAGTCTTGATGAAACTAAAAGAGCTGATGGATGTGAGCTAGCATCAGTGAAGTAGCAGTGAAATGGAGAAGAACAAAGGGTATTGAGATGAACACAACAAAGAAAACGATTTTGCATCACATTTGTTTGGCTTTAACTTAGTTCTGAAATCCCTGGCTTATGTAAGATCATAATGTGTTCTGTTTTTAGATATGAAAGATGTTCACTCTGAAATGTGTTCAGTCGATTGTAAACAGTGAAATAACATACACACGAATTGCGTTAGAATATATCGATGAGAACCACTTCAAACATAAGCAAAACAAACCAAAACCATAAACCAAATCAAAGTTTTGTTAATGCACCAAATCAAGAGCTTAGACAAATCACAAAAGTTGTGGCCTTTACAGGCAAACACATAATGAGGCAAAAAAACGCTCACAGAAACCAAAATGTTTATATGTTTCTTTAATGATAGAATCAACAACAAAAACATAATTCTTCGGTTCTGTTTTGTGGTCGAATCAATGGAAGGTTTTTCTCGTGGGAATCTCCAAAAAAAACCTTCCATATGAATCAAATTGGTAAGTAAGGTTAGGTTCTTATCTTGACCTCCTGAAAAAGGTGTAAGCCATGGCTATAGTTGCAATGGCTCCAACCACAGCAGCTCCAATGTAGAACTCTTCTTTGTCAAGAGGTTGGAACCATATGGTGCATTTTCTTCCTTCTTTCTTAATTGGCTCTGGCTTTGGGGTTTCATCTTGGCAACACGAAACGCCGTTTGATCCTTGACAACATCCTCCTGTGGATCCCTTGCTCTCTTCTTTCATTACACTGTTACCGTTTGGTATCACTTTCTCACCTTCACCTTCAGCTAAGCCCATTTGACCCCTGAAACAAAAGTAACTTTGCTAAGTCCAAGTACCAAAATTTATCTACATATCTATCACAGAGACATAAAAAAAAACCATGAAACTGTAGTCTTTAAAACCAATACCTCCAAATCCTTTGTATGATTTCTCCTTTTGCAATATGCTGGTCAAGCAATTCAGGCACATCATCAGGAGTTACATAGCCATACCTACATTTTAAACCAGCACAGTTACTCGGCAATGCCATAAACCATAACATTTTCAGTTTTTTGATCCAACCATATACTTACTTACCAATTGCCAGTAATCTTTCCAGCTGAATCAGGACAGAAGATGATCAAATTACCAGCATACTTGTGCTGTCCAACGTGAGAACATCGTTTCAGAGTAATCTGGTCCGAAAGACCACGAGAGCCAATCTCCTTTTGGAACCTCTCTAAGATCACTGGTCCGCAAACACCACACCTCTTGTCTCGACTAGTATGAGTACACACAAATACAAATGTTCCAGTTATCTCTTCTTGTTTCCCTGAGCTCCATGGCTTCCCATTCACAAGAACATCTTCAAAAAAACCTTCCACATCCGTATCTTTAACCCCCCTATACTCAATACCAACACAAGAAAGAGTTTTATACATAAGTCAACATATTTAAAATGGATCTGCATCTCATGTTCATCAACAAGCTCATCTATTATGTAATTTTTAAAGTTTCTAAAGATAGCTTATACAACAATACACACTCTCAAGAAATCTAACTACATGTTCTAGTCAAAACATAGAGGCGACTCACTTGTATCTGATCATATCTGGAAAAATCAACACATCTCCATCAGACCCACCACCTTCACATACATTAAGCTTCGTCTACAATAACAACAAACACAAAAAAAAAAAGATCAGCGTAGTGGCTTCAACAAGAATCTTTCATTATAAGAAAATGAAGTTTCTAACGTTTTGTGTATACCTGAACAAGAAGATCAGATTTGCGATCTTTAAGCAACGTAGCGAAACGTTGAGGCAAACCTTGTTCTTCAACATGTGAGGGCCAAGCTTCAGGTGTCTTATAAAGAACAAAAACATGACGACCATACGAAGTAATCGAATTGGCTATGTTGGTGCTGTACATCTCCGGCCGTTTAAATCCATACTCTGTATCTTCCGACGCCGGAACAGAGTTCACGTTCTCAACTTCAGCCATTAAGACGAGTTAGCTCTATGGTTTCTCGGAATCAAATCAAGAAGAGCTTTTTGACTTTTTGAAGAATGAGTGCAAAATATATTTATGTTACATAAACACACGTCGTGAGTCGTCCACACGAATGTGACGAGGCGGTGACGCAACTTAAGCTCACAGACAAATCTACTTGACCCGTCTTTGCTGTATCTTTTGGGTGACAGACAGTGGTTTTAGTTTATCAAGCAACGTTGGTCAACTTATATGTTAGTGTTTGATTTAAATCATTGTTTATGCAAGCTAATTGCCTTAAGAAGATGGACTTAAATATTTGTTTATGAATCATGAGTAAGAAGAAGAAAGAAGAAGAAGAGTTTTTATGTATTTGGTTTAAATTATTTGCTATATACATTGCTTGAAAGGGTTGTTTAACGAAGTCGTCTTTCTTTAAAAAATAAAAATCTGAAGTGTTGAATGGTAATGTCATCTTCTTCATTTTATTGTCTAGTTTTCATGCTTAACAATGATTCCTTCGTTTAGTTGTAGACAATGTCAGCATTGTATGAGGATTCTATGAAAAACTATACTCAACTAGAAGTTATTAATAGGTGTGTCAGATTGTAGAAGAATCCAAAGCTAGTAGGATTCAAGCTCAAATAAAGCTTATTAAGCTAGATAGAGATATTAGAAACTGAGATTGAAATGAAATAATTTGGAGTTCGAATGATTATAGCGGTTCGATTTTACGACGGACAACAAATCGCGACAAACCAATTGTATTTTTATGTAAAAACGGTATGTAGTTGGTCCGCATCATTATGAAGTACAAATCCTTGATTACAATAGATTCACAAAGTATTCAAGGAAGTTTACAATGAAAATCTCTAATAAAGACCAAACTTATTGGCTAAATAAATAAGAGAAAAGATCAAGAGTTTTGGAGTAAATTGTCAAAGTAAAGGTTTAAGACGTATCTAGCAGCGGAGAGAACATCAAGCCTCCTCTCACTCGCCTCGTACTTGCCTTTCCTGAGCTGATACCGATGAGTCACTGCGGAGATTGTGTACGTTTGCCCTTCTATCATAACGTTCTCACCGCACTGAAGGTTCTGCCAAAAATCAGAAATCTTTTCATCAAACTCATTCTACGAAATTGGAGAATGCTTATTACAATTTCCAATCAAACATAGTCAAAAACTGTAGTTGAGCATTGATGAGGGCTGCTTTAACTTGGTCCTCTCAGACATTTCCTTAGAAGAACTTAAGAAGAAGATGAAGATTTGAGGAAGACTCACATGAGGAAGACAACGAACGCCAAGAGACTTGGGAGGAGGAGTGATTTCAATGACTTTGTAAGGGTAATGGCTCTGATCTCTTCCTCCTTTCTCTTTCTTTCTGCAATTTATCTTCAACCTCCCTCTTACCTGCAAAAGATCCATTCTTTTCTATCATTCTCAGGAGAGATAAACCAAAACAAGACTCAAAAGACGTATTTGGTGATTTGCGATTGAATTAGCTCTAAAAATCGTTACTTTTTCGAAACAGACGAGATTTGATGCAAGTGTTGCCATTTTCACAAGTCCGATATGAAAGAGATAAGAAATGAGAGAGGACGACCAGAAAGATGAGGACTTGGTGAAATTTTCTCAGTCAAGTTTTTTCTCTGAATTGTGAAATGGAACATGAGAAACAGAGCAGAATCAAAGAATTGAGACAGATGATTGACCACCAGATATTTTTTAGGTCTATTTGTGGCTCTCTCTAACTTAAGGAGAAGAAGACAATTAAAACCTTCGGACACATACAGAGTCTTCTAGTGAAAACGTTACAAACAAGACTATTACATAGTCTATAACAAGATTTGAGTCAAAACTTAAACAGAAGCGATGATACAAGCTAACTCTAAAGTTGCCACATGGGTTCTACGGCAAAGGAAAAAAATAATCTGGCATTGTTACGCCGAGATAATTATCTAAAAATGTATGTCAACACTACTCGAGGGAATCAAAGCCCTAAAAGCCTCCTCTCTCAGAATACAATAACTAGCTATCACTCTTGATAACCATTACACAAACTAAGCATGACGCAAGGAGTAAGAAAAAGATTCAAGCTTTTTTAGTAACTCTCTACCTTCCATAAGGATGGTACCTTCCGCTGCCTCCTCCATATCCGCCTCTACTTCCTCCACCTCCTCCTCCATAAAACGAGCCTCCTCCACTTCCGCCACCTCCATAACCTCCTCCGCCTCCCCCTCCAAGTCCACCCATGTCATAGCCGCCGCCACCTCTATAGCCTCCGCCACCAGCACCACCCATTCCACTACCATATCCACCAATACCGCTACTACCATAACCGCCTCCATAACTGCCACTTGGTCCACCATAACCACCACCAGGTTCACCATATGGCCCACCATACATATCGCCCGGTCCACCACCATACCCACCCCCTCCTCCCATACCGTAACCCCCTCTGTTGTAACCACCACCTCCTCCTCCTCCATATCGACCAGAATATCCAAGTGCTGGTTCTCTATAAGGTCCCACGCCACCACCGTATCCACCGCCGCCGTACCCACCAAATTCTCCTCCATAACCTCCATAACCACCAGACCGGCCACCTCCATAACTGCCACCACCTGATTTGTAAGGACCTGGACCACCATATCCCCCACCGTGTCCACCACCATAACCATCTCCATAACCTCCACCAAAGTTAGAGCGAGAGTCACCAAACCGCTTTGACGGGGTTGTAACTGAGTTTGGTTTTTTTGGCTCTGCCTTCTTTATCTCAACCTATACGAAAAAATTTCACGGATAATTCAGCAAAGTAGACAGGGCAAATGTGAGTGTCCTGGGTATACTACAAAGTCTAAGAATCTCAACAATATTCGTACGAGCATACAGTTACCTGAGTCCCTGAGAGCTCAATTCTGTTCCCTTTCGCCAAGAGATGGTCAACCATATCTTCACTTTCATACGTAACAAACCCAAAACCACGTGACCTTCCAGTTGAGTGATCACGCATAATCTGATGTTCCTTGAGCTCTCCAAATTGCATAAAAAATTCCTTGAACTCATCTATTCAAACACCAATTCTCGAGTTAATAACTAATATGTTTCTGAAACAAAAATCATATGATAGAGATATGGGATAAAAATGCGAAGTGCTTACCATCATCCACAGATGAAGGGATTCCACCAACAAATATCTTCTTGGTTTTGAAATCGTTAGTGCTCATGGATCCTCTTGGTATTGTCCGCTTAATCTCAACCTGACGAGCCAAGAAAACCAAAGAGTGAATATTATCAAACTATAAGAGACAACACATCTAACACACAAAGAAATGTAAGGAACTAACCTGCTTCCCAATGATAATGTGATTGTCCTCCATAACTTTGTCGACCACAGAGACATCAGCATATGTCACAAACCCAAACCCACGGGGCTGTCCAGTCTTCCTATCCTTCATAATCACAGAATCAGTAATCTCTCCATATTTCCCAAAATGCTTGACGAATTCAGCTGCATAAGCAAAACCAAAAACCAGAGTTAAAAAAAGTATTGAACTTTACACAATAACGAGAGCGCTAACCTCTTACAATGCTGCAACCAGACACAAGAGCTAACCTGAAGTTGTCTCCCTGGCTAAACCTCCAACAAATATCTTTCTACAAATTCCACAAAACATCGTATAAGTACACTAATCACTAAGTATTAAGAAACCAGAGAAGAGCACTAATCTTATCCTTCTCCACTCTAGATTTCTCTAGCGGAACAAAGAAAACTTTTAGCTAATTCGTAAGAGTAGGGATAACAAGTTCGAATCTTTCTATAGTAAAGACCCTAACAAGCCATTAATTTCACAGAGCTCAGCGAAAAAGATGAGTAATTTAGAAAACCCTAGAAGAATCAAAACAAAAAGCTTCATCCTTTATCAAAATTTACTTGAAATAGAGAAGAGACCCAAACCCTAAATCCTGAATCTAAAATCTTTTCGGAAGAAATTGAGGAAACGTACCCAGCACTATCGACGCCACCACCAGAGTGAGGCTGAGATTTGTCGTCATCGTCTTCAACATCTTCGGATGGTTTAGCATCCTGGATTTCATCTTCGAGGACTGTTTCCGTTACATAAGGATCCATAATGATGGGACAAACGAAACCCTAAAACCCTTCGGAGAACGAAGAAGAAGAAGAAGAAGCGGCAGACGCCTAAAAGCCGTGTCGTGCAATGAAGCAATCCGTAAAACCCTTAGAGAAGAGAAAGTGGCGTTACTTATTGTACTCCGCGTAGCACTCGATCCTAAGCTCGTTTCTAGTGTTTATAAAATAAGGACGGTTGATATTGCTTGTTGTTTTTATAATGGGTGAATCTTAGCCGTTAGATTTTCTTTTAGTTTTTTTCCTTTTTAGCAATACAAGGATGAAAATGGAAATTCAAGGTTTTCAAACCAAAATCTTAAAACTGATCCAAAATTTTCAGATCGAATAGGTATAAAACCTGAATAAATTCTAAAATTTTTTACTTTTAAATTATCCGAACTAAATCGATAACCGAGCAATATACTTGAAAATCCGAAAAAAATTATATATCCAAAATTATTAGTTATATTTTATTATAATTTTATAACCAAATATATCAAAATAAGAAAAATATCTAAAATATCTTATATTTCTGAAAATCATTAATTATATAATCTCAAAATTATACAATTTTTTTTTTTGATTACTGAACCAAATATTCATGAAGGTTTATGCTTTATTTTATAATACATTATGTGAGTAAAACATAAACATCTTTATTTTATAATACATTATGTTACAATAGTCACTGCAATATTTATGTTTATAAATTAATTACAAGAGACATGCATGAAAGTATGTAGTTACAAACTATGAAATTATTTTTCAAAGAAAAAGTCATAACTAAAGCCACAAGAACAACATATGAATATATTTGAATCTGCTTTTTTGTTGAGAACAAAATCACCTCTACAACGAATCTTGCATAAATAGCAAATCGGCCGAGAGAGACTATTGTTTGGAAGCAAATCAAACGACCCCTTGTTAGCCATCACCAAACTGTATCCTGGTCTTGAGTGTATTAGATCTTTAAATACACATTTAGTATGTAGAGTGGAGCCACATTCATTGCATTTGTAAAACCAACTCTTCAAGGAAGGACGACGATAATCGTATTTTTGTATTAGATCTTCCTCTTCGCATATCCCGCAACAATATGACACATTCGCATTTTTCCCATCGTAGCATAAGGTGAGAGGATGGTTATCGTATTTGTGTCTTACCAATGTGGGTAAAGTTGCGCATGCGAAGCATATATTGTAGTCACCACAACCATATGTATCATTGCAACGTAGATAAAAACGACAATCCGAGTCACAACCACCACAAGTCGAGTAAAACCAATCAAAATACAAGAATAACCAATGGGGATGACTCTCATGTTTAAACACGTCTGAAATTGACGCACATCGCACATCAATGCTGAAGAACTTGGGATTTACGGTAAAATAGGCGAAATCAGTGTAAAAACGCTGACAATCTTCAATGCTGAGGAACGTAGGGTCTTTTTCAGGAAAATATGAGAAACCGGTGCAATGACGCTGACAAGCAACACAAAAAAACAGGTTTTTCGGGTTTGAGCCATGCTGAGAATTGTCACTCAAGGTAAGTATTTGTGTGCTTATCTCGTGTCTTTTCTGCATAGGGAGATTAGCGCATGCATGATGAAGAGTAAAATAATCACATTGTGTACATTTGTAGCACAACTCAGAATAAAGAGGGAGAGTGCATGCACAACAATGCTCTCTTGGTTCCTCAAGTCTTGATGATGATAATGAAGCCTTGAGATTATGTTCGTGGCTAAAATGTTTTATTACCTCTTGATCTTTCGCTTCGAATGGTTTGCTTTCTTCTTTTTCATCTTCTTCGGGTACCCCTTCAAGTTCTCTCCCATCCCAAACTTTTTTATATGTTGCACAAACTGAATGAACAACATAAGAACAAACCGAGCAAGAATATGCTCCATACTCTCCATTCACATGCTCATAACATACCCCACAAATCCACTTCCCATGGGCAAGAGAAGAAACATGAGAGATACGATGGTCGTGTCGGTTGATGTATATAACCCGTGGTAAGGAGATGCATGTTCGATGGATTATGAAACAGCATTGAAGACAAAGACACGGGTACTTATTATCAGTACACAACCCGCATGCATCACAAGTGAAGGGGAGTTCTATGATTACTTGGTGGAGCTCATGGTGATGCGCTTTCGTTTGGCTAAAGATCAAAGGTTCTCTCGCACAAGGGATACATATATGAAAACGACACTGTGAACAGTGATAAAGTATTTCAGGATACCTTGGAGTTACACAAAGATGACATAACTCTTTGTAATAGTCGCAGTTTATGATCTTGAGAGGGTGTTTATGACGAGAAGGCATGTCGGCGATGAGGCATTCCTCGTGGATACAAAACGAGCAGCTATCACACTTGTAGCCTTGCTTGTTGTAATGGTGATCTTTGTTGCACGCATCGCATCTTGATGAGAATTTTGTATATTTTAGAGGAGATTGACAACCGTGGCATTTTCTTAGATCCATAATTGGTAAGTTCTTCTTTCCTTTTTTGGAACAAAGTTTCGTCTTCTTTTTTTGCTGGATATTTTTGTATACCAAAAAAAACAATGAGAGAAACTAATAAATTAATATCGTACATTATAATACTAATTTTATTGGACTTTATAGTACTTGAGTTGGAATATTAGATTACCTATTTGATACCAAAACGTAAGGAATAACTAAATGAAACAAGATCAATATTATTACTTGAGTTGGAATATTATATTACCTATTTGATACTAAAAGTAACTAATATCTCTCTTACCAAAAAAAAAGTAACTACAGTAATATCTTTAAAGAAAAAAGAATCTATTTTGTTTACGGAAACAAAGAATAGATTAGAACGCTAATAGTTCTATGTTGCCTTCTCACCAGATCCGGGTTCGAGTCCGGTCTCTCTCGAATAGAGACGTATAATTTGTAATGATAACAACAAAAAAAAAAAAACGCTAATAGTTTATAAAAAATTTGATTTCAAAGATATCAATATTCTCCTAATGTTACATAGATGGAAATTGATCTTTTAAAACTTAAAATTATAATAAAATTGAAGTAATCTGTTACATAGAATGTAGAACATTATATATATATATATATATATATATATGTGTGTATATATTGATTAAAAAAAATATGTATTGCAACTAATTATGTTTGTTTTTATAAACGAAATCTTAAAATAAGTTCAAACTCCAACTAAGGAGCAGAAGAAACAAACAGCAACAACAAGGTGAACAAGAAGATAGAAAAAAGAGAGACACATGATTCTCGCCAATGCTTGGCCATTGGTATTGAGAAGAAATGTGAGTTCTTTGCAAGCCGAGAAATAGGCTAGCCTTGATACACCCAATGCTAAAGCCACGCTAAACGCCGCCTTCAAAACAAGTCCAAGTGCTATTAGAACAGAGGAGACTGAGGGTCTTGAAAATGATCCTTGAAGGATCGTTGCCATAAGTCGATCTTTAATGATCCATCTCAAAACGCACCAAATAACTTGAGCCATCCAAGCGACGGTGACGCCACAAGTAAAATCGACTAGAGGAGCATCGATACGGATTATACATATAAAGATGAGAAGTGCAAAATAATGTTTAACAACAAATAATATGGTAAGTTATATATCAAATCTTATACGTTTATTTTGATTGGTTTTTTTTGTTAACACCCTTGCAACTTATATTAACTTGAAAGATCATTGTTTACCGGAGTGAGAATACACATAGAAATCAAATTGTAAAATAGAAAATCAGAAAAAGATAATAGTTCATTTTGGTTGATTATTTTTGTTTTTTAAATAATGTATTTTCATTTTTATATTTTAATTAATTTGTTTAATTAGTATTTAAAAATTTTACCCATAATGATTATAAT